TTTTTTGAGAATCGGTCTTAATAATTATTTGCCTTACATTAAGTTCGGAATTGTATTTTTTTCCTTCCATATTATTCGTGTTGATTTTGTTTTTATTATAATTTTTATATTTTTAGTCACATTTGTCATCGAGTATTAACAAAAATCATTTAAAACAATCGCTATTCCTAATTGATCAAAAATTCAAGTTTTTGTTTATTCGGTTTGTTTTTAAATGTCTAGTTTTATCTTATTGTTTAATTATTATAGGTCTATCCATCTTTCACCTTGTCGTTTAAATTTTATTGATTTATGGCTACATTTATTTATTTTTATGTATTTTGTTTGTTTGTAATATAAGACATATATATGTATTATATGAATGTTCTTAGTGTTACTTATTGGGATTCATTCTCTTTATTAAGGTATGTATTTGTATGATTAACTTTATTTTACTTTATAATATTCATTATTTGCTTTCATTGGTGAACTTGTAAAATTTATATTTGCTTTTGTCAATGTCACTCTTCGAATTTTGGAGTATTTTTAATTTTACAACTGCATTTACACATATTCAAATGTTGCTTTTGTTTGGCTTTAGTTTTGTGTCGCTGTGTAAGTTGTTATGCTCTTAAAAAGATCTGAGTGTGAATGTTGGCATGTATGAATTAGGTTGCTGTCGAATTATGACGCACTAATCTGAATAAAACCATTTTTGGTGGTACTTTTAATGCGATATCTATTTTGATCGTAATAACTTAAAAATTTCCAATAAATGCCCTATTCTAACCTATAGCCGTAATTTTATATAATCTAATATTAATTTTATTATATGTATATCAGCGAATTAGTGTTTTAAAACCGAAAAAGTTTATGCTGTAATACGTCTTTAATTTTTGTTTCTGTTGTTTTCCATTTGAATAGTGTTGCAAACTGTATTTTCTATTACCGAACATTGTCGGTGTTTGTCTAAATGCGTACACAAAAACGATATTTTGGCGCTAGGTATGCATGTTCATATGCATGTGTGTATCAAAAGAAAACATCAGGAGAAATATCTAAGCTATTTAAAATAATAGTCTGAATGCAACCCAATTATAAGCAGCCAATTTCTCGTATTTTTATTGTTAAACATATTCTAAACAATAATATTGAAAGAAGATACAAAATGTGTTTTGTTGTCTGCTATGTTACTGACAAAAAAAAGTTGACACGATTCTATTTTTAATTTTTTTCAATTTTTCTGTGTGGGAAGGAAGTAGTTAGCAGTTTAACGTTGAAAAAACTCAATTTTTTGAAAAAACTATGTCATCTTCCCATTTTAAAAAGTCAAATAAATTAGGGACTCAATTCTTGTTCTATGAAAATGTGTGATTAACATCTTTTAAAGGAAAGAAATGTCAAATGAAAAATGTTACAAAGAAAACTTTTTTCATTTTATTTGTCATAGAAAAGAATTCACACCCCACTCACTTGCCCCATCTTGTAACAATTGGATATGTTAGGCATATACACGCCACGATTGCTGTTTAAAATGTAGTCTGCGAGCACAGGAGAAACGAACATACGTGGGACTTCGTTTGGTCGACGCACTGTTTACAATGTAAAACCTTAATATCTATGTAGCAATGCTGATTTACAAAGATATGTTAAGTCAATTTAGAAGAATAATGTACAGATTCAAACGGAATAGTGTGAAGAATAGTTTATACGCCTTTTTACAGTTGTGATTTTTTTATATCCTCCGCCATAGGGTATATATATATATATATATTCGTCATTCCGTTTGTAACTCTTCAAAATAATAATTTTGGACCCAACAAATTATATATATGTTCGTTCGTATATTTAGCACTGTTCGTCCGTCCGTCTGTTGTAATCACGCTACAGCCAAAACGGTACCCCCCGATATACGGTATTATTTTATACCATTCTTCATTGGAATTATCTGAAATTGCACACAAGGAGTTCCGTGTGAGTACTTTATACCCTGAAATAGATTTTTCATTGGAATTATCTGAAATTGCACACAAGGAGTTCCGTGTGAGTACTTCATACCCTGAAATAGATTTGTCTATATAGGTCCACAATATCGTATATCCTCATGTATCGGCACCTTCCAATATTCAGTATTTTTAAGATTTTAACAGAATTTTTAATGGATTCTTATTATTTACTTATTTTTTTTTTAAATTTTCTAATTCATCCCAAATGCCCGGCCCGACCGAACTAACTGCTTTTTTACTTGTTTACATTTATATTTAGCAGTTTAGAGCATACATTCGACAAAATGTTTTAACTAAAATAATGCAGTGTTATTGTTGTGTTGTATAGTACGTAGTTTATTTAGTATACTCTCTTGAGATGCTTCAAAAATGGTTGGAAGCGCTAAAATGTTTGCCATAAAATGGTAAATATGAATGTGAAAAAATTATTTCACATATGAGTTATTAAACATTATTTGATGTATAATGCTGCTTCAGCAGCTCACAAACCATTTTGTTGAGTTTTGTCACTCTTGACATAAAATTATATTATTTAGACATAACATAATTGATACTTTTTGAAAAAGAATGAATGAGATGCACGTACCAAAAATTCGCCGTTCAAATTATTTGCATGCACTTTTTGGTTAAAGAAGAGTTTTCTGCGTTTACACCCGTTCCGTACTTCAAAAATTTGTAATGTGTTCATTTCTCTTTAATCAAAGATTTGTATGTTAACACCACGAATTTAAGCGAGGAATGGTGATAAATTTGTCAAATTGCGAAATTGGAATTTCATAGACAGCAAGCAAATATAAATAATAATTTTCTTTGAAATTGAAAAATTGATAACACTAGAATTTTATCAAGATTCATTGCACGTGTTCAAATGAATGGATTTCAAGCCATTTCACCCATTCTCGAGGATTCCAGCAGTGATGAGGAATGAAAAAAGTTTTATACGTTTATTTTCGGGGTTGACGATATTAAATCCACGATTTTGTTATATTTCTAAGTCTACAAAAACACACAAATCTTTCATCTTTTTTATATTTTATTTTCAATAGAATGATAATGTGCCTCCTACGGAAAACACACCAAAATTGAATAATCGATTTTTGTGTAAAGCAGTCACTTTTGAGTGGTAGTATGTAACCTACTTTACTTTTTAGTATCGATTGATAATTTGTCGACCCTTTTATATCGTAATAATATCCTGAAGACTCTCGGCACAAGGATTAGCTCCACTCCGGTTGCATCATACCACTAAGCTTAACAGCAGAAAATAGGTGTCTTGGATTCCTACTTTCGTCTGTTTGCCTTTCCACAACTCCCAAATTTTGAACTAGGATTCATCATGAAACAAAACGCATATCGAAATGACCAGTAAAATGATTTGATTTTTATTCCACAACATACCCAAGAGAAATATTTTAGAACCACACCACCTTACTATTAAAGCATGCACCAATTGGTTTTGTTTGGTTTATTTAAGAGGTAGCTTTATTTCACCTCCTTTCACTATACCGGGGTATGCAATAAATTTCGAAAAATTCTAAAGGACATACAGAGACATAAGCTGAATCGTAATACAAACCCCATTATTATCACATAGAATGTCATAGGAAGTTATAATAAGTAAACTATAATAGACGAACTCTCTTTACAATAGAGTTTCTTTGTTATATTTTACTTTTTATCACCGAAATAATACGGTCACTCACTCACTATCTTTATCAATTGGTTTCCGACCGATATGTACCCTCAATATATGGTTTGATAAACTAAATGATGACTCTTCCCAGAATATATGTAAATTACAAATTTTGCCATTTATTCAGAAGGTACCAGTAGGAGTGTACCTATATATCTAGCCTTCAAACTAGATTTGATGCAATGGGTAGATATACTTAGATGTGCAAAGTTTGCTCAAAATCGGGAACAAATTCCATATATTATGAGAATTGTTTTTTAACCTTTATGTTGGAATTAAAAGATATTGGTACGAATTTTGTTCAGTCGGGCGAAAATTCCGCCTTTATAATTCCGATAATAAAATATATATTAGTCATGAGGCCGGATGCCGTGAGTATACAATCATCCGGAAACGTGATTATCTCAACGACATCAGAAGTTCGTTGATTACCACAAACAATTTTGGGTACGGCCGGCGCCTAATCATATAGATGACAACCTAACGTATCGACCAGAGAGTTTTCTTTTATGCTGTGTTGCCATGTTGAGGTGCCAAAAAGATTTGACGACTTATCTTCGTATTTTCAACTTCATTTATATTGTTGCGGTCATATTAGCGGTCGAAGTCAGCTCTCTTTCGACATACACCTATGCATTCATTCGCATAGTAACCGCTTGAGTGCGTCGGATGTCACAAAGGAAAATGTTAAACAGTTCTGGAGACATAACCCCACCTTGGGAAACTCCTTTTTCCCATACAGGTGTCTGATTTCACGTACGACTGAAAATCTCGTGATCATTTAAACATTTGACATAGTTATTACAATATATTCGTATTCTGGTATCTTTGAAAAAAATTTTTTTTTTCGAATAAAAACAACATTTATTTTTTTGTGTCATAAATTTGAATATTCGAAAAATGGGAAAAAATTGTAATCGAATGAGAGCCCTACTACTTATTGTATTGTATGTTTGTAACATCATCAACGATAGGACATGATTCATAAATCGAAAAATCGTCTGCATACGGTGATAAATATTTCCAGACATATGACCCTACCTTAGGGAACTCCCTGTCTCCATCTTTGGAACTTCACATACGACTTCAATTCGACTTTATTGGTTTTTATGATTTAGTTTTAAATATTATAGAGACACAAACTGTTTTGGCTACGATATTAATATTTATTTTATTATTAATGCCTTGTCTAGTTTTAATACACCTTATGCTGATAGTTATAACGAACTTTTCAATATCTCTTATTACCAAATAATCAAATAACATTTTTGCAGCCGTAACTACTTACAACAGAACCCATTATTTTTAAAAAGGTATGTCCCTGAAATATATTGTTATTTTTTGTCAGTCGATAAATATATAGGAAAAAACATTAGCTTGATTTTAACAATTAATGTTTAATTTTAGCATCTATTTAAAAAATAAGTCTGACTGCTACTAACTTCAAGAACATGCTGAGTTACTACAGTCCCTTTTTTTAATTTTCGTTGTTTTTAGGTTAAAATTAAGCTAAAGAAAAAATATAATAGTGTTTAGATCCCAAGATACTTTGTTTCCTTAGATACACAACTTTACATATGTTCATACAATTTTTGAACGCACATTATATTTAACGACTTCTTACGTAGTATTGGCAGTGTCTTTTTGGTACAGGAAAACGGTGTATTTAATATTTGTGAGATCGCGGCATAAAAATTCGTGATTCAGTGTCAGGCACAACTAAGTCATGATCTTGACATCTGACCTGGGATTCCAGCGTTCTTCATTTGCATTCTTGCTGCCTTCTTGTTTGATATGGGCATATTGATGGTGAAAGATTTGAACCATATACTCTTTTAGGGATTTTTGTGTGTTAAAACGTGTGTTTGCAACTCATTTGTTTATTGTGATAAGTTCTACTATTCTATATTATAATTTTGAGTATTACAAAATTATGCGTGATTTGTTACTATTCATTATTATTAAATGCTAAATTTTTATGTTTCCAATTTCTCATGAATTCTAATTATGGCAGTTAAGATTTTTTGTTTTTTAATTACATATTTGGATCAATGAGTTAATTTTTGCATATGTATGTGTTCAACTAAAATTTTTGAAAACGTCGTCCACTACGGATCATCCGCAAAAAACAATAGCTACCTTTTTTATCCACATAACCTTATAACAGTGAAGAATTCAAAAGTAACATAAAAAACAACAAAAGAAACAGCCAGAGTAATATCACATAAAATTAACACAAATTAGTTATAAATCACAATATATTGCTGAGGATGCATTCCAAGTTGTAAATTTAATTTGTGTGATTGTACTTTCACTATTTCAGTTTCAGGTTTTAAGAATTATTTTTACATAAATCATCATGAAGAAACATCGTTCAATTAACTAAAGGGATGAAAGAAGGAGGATTTTGTGGAAGCATAGCATTATAGATTTTGTGGAAGTAGAGAATTTTTGGAGTGGATTCATAACTTTTGAGCCAGTTCCTACCTTAAAACTAACCGTATATTTTCAAATTGTGAAGATCCTTGACATTTCCTCAGATGATTGAGAAATGCTTAAAGATATATGCTGTTTATAAGAAACAGGAAACAAGATTTGAAGTTGGAGTTTAGATTCGATCTTCTTCGTCCTCTTCGGGCTCTTCGCCGTTCTCTTCTAGTTCCTCTTTGTATCCTGGGTGTTCGGATATGGCATAGTAGTTGCCATTGTAAATGACTCCCAATTCGCGTAAAGCATCTCCACGAATCGTTGCCTTTATCGTCCAGTTGTAACAATCGTCGGATTCTGACTCTCTGTCTAGTCGTTCTACGTCCAAAATTTTGGAATTTAAGCGTTCTAGAATGATTCCGATATCCTTTATGCTAAGGTGTCGTTTTTGATCTACAGAAAGTTGATCGATAAGCAACAAAAACTTTTCGGTCGTCACCTTTTCGTCCTCCATGACGGTATTTTCCGTTTCACTTTCGGAGCTGTCACGTTCCGGAGCAATATCAAGGAACCGAACATGACCTTTTGTACCCGAGGACCGCCTTTGCATACTGCCACCCAGCATAGGATCCACAACCGAAGACATAGACATTGTTGCCTGTTGTTGGGGTTGTGGACTTGTAGTCCCATCTTGGATAGGCGAGGTCGCTACACTTTTGTGTACAGCTATTTTACGACCCTCTTCGTGCAAGGCACAGCAATGGAAGTCGCATTCCGTAGTACTTGGGCTACCTGCTCGACTAGGGGTATGTGCGTGATGTGCACATTCGGGAGTGTGAACATGCACTGCGCCAACGGCACTATCAAAGGAACCACCTTGTTTTGAAAGTCTTCTGCTTGTGCCAGGTATCACAATACCTGGTACCATGCCACCCGTATGATATATGTTTGCGGGACCGTCATCACTTATTACCGTTATTTGTGGACTTGTGTAGCGCTGTTGCGATGATTGCGACGACACTGATTTATTGTCCAATGAACTTTGTGCCGAGAGACCTTTCTTCGATGGTGAATACTTTTCAGAAGATATTGGACCATTGCTACTACTTGTCCCACTACTGATTGGCCCCATTCCGCCACTACTGCCACCTCCTCCTCCTTGACGTTGGTCCCAGTGCAGAACAACCGTAACTCGACCCTTATTATCCATAATTTTCCAAGATGGAGTCTCATCATGTAACTCCAGTGCATGAATCGTCTCACAGACGATTTTTGGTATAGCTGATATAGCTGAAAATGTATTAAATCATTCGATTTACGCACATATATATATGAATTCGATAAACTTACCAGCTTTTATAACATCGACTCCTGTGGGATACCAACGTTCCCCCTGCCTCAACAATAATAGGACCGTATTATTTGCCAATGTGCGAAAATATTCTCCATCTTCAATTTGGGTTCCATCGCTCTCCAGAACAAGTCGTACTGGTTCTGAGGCAGGAACCCCTAATTTATCCTTACCTATAATAAAAAATAAAAAAAAGCATAACTTATTGAACATATTCATTCAGTTTACAAGCTAATTGTTTGTAAATCGAAAACACTACACAATCTGATATCAAATACCCTTTAATTTTTATACCCTCCACCAAAAAAGGATGGAGGGTATATTAAGTTCGTCATTCCATTTGTAACTCATCGAAATAATCATTTTAGACCCAACAAAGTATATATATTCTTGATCAGCGTAAAATTCTAAGACGTCTGTCCGTCTGTTGTAATCACGCTACAGTCTAAACGAATTAAGATAGGAAGCTGAAATTTTGCACAGATCTCTCTTTTGTTTGCAGGCAGGTCAAGTTCGAAGATGGGCTATATCGATCCACGATATTGTATAGCCCCCATATAACGGTACCCCGATATTCGGTATTTTGATGATTTTACCCACATTTTTCATCGGAATTGTCTGAAATTCCACAAAAGGAGTCCCTTGTAGACATTTTACCCCCTCAAAAAGAACTGTCTATAAAGGTCCACGATATCGTATATCCCCCATATAACTGTACCCCCGATATTCGGTATTTTGATGATTTTACCCACATTTTTCATCGGAATTGTCTGAAAATCCACACAAGGAGTTCCTAGTGGGTATTTTATACCTCGGCAGAGAATTATCTATATAGGTCCACCATATCGTATAGCGCCCTTATAACGGTACCCCCGATATTTGGTATTTTGATGATTTTATCCACAGTTTTCAATGGAATTGTCTGAAATTCCACAAAAGGAGTCCCTTGTGGGCATTTTACCTCCTCAAAAAGAATTGTCTATAAAGGTCCACGATATCGTATATCCCCCATATAACTGTACCCCCGATATTCGGTATTTTGATGATTTTACCCACATTTTTCATCGGAATTGTCTGAAAATCCACACAAGGAGTTCCTAGTGGGTATTTTATACCTCGGCAGAGAATTATCTATATAGGTCCACCATATCGTATAGCGCCCTTATAACGGTACCCCCGATATTTGGTATTTTGATGATTTTATCCACAGTTTTCAATGGAATTGTCTGAAATTCCACAAAAGGAGTCCCTTGTGGGCATTTTACCTCCTCAAAAAGAATTGTCTATATATGTCCACGATATCGTATATCCCCCATATAACTGTTCCCCCCAATATTCGGTATTTTGATGATGTTAGCCATATTTTTCAACGGAATGGTCACAAGGGGTTCCTTGTACACAAGGGGTTCTTTATGAGCACTTTATCCCCCGATAGAGAATTCTCTATATAGGTTAACGATAACGTATAGCTCCCTTATAACGATACAACGCGATATTCGGTATTTTGAAAATCCACACAAGATTTGTCTTTATACGTCCACAATATCGTATATCCCCCCACACCGGCACCTTCCTATATTAGATATTTTAAAGATTTTAAAAGAATTTTTAATGGATTTTATTTTTGAAAATTTTCTAATTGGTTCCAAATGCTGGAGGGTATTCAAAGTTCGGCCCGGCCAAACTTACTGCTTTTTTACTTGTTATAATTAATTTGCTTTGTTAATCTATTCTGTTTTCAAAATTTTTTCTTTGCCCAACTTGGAAACAAATTACAGTTTACATGCATTTTGTAATGAATTGAATTAGTTTCCAAATGATATATAAGTATCTTTTTATCTTTATGTGCACCCAAAAATATATATATCGATAAGAAGTTGGGGTACTGCCACAGAAAAAAACGCATCTATACGAGACCTTTTTGTTATATATATATATATATATATATATATATATATATATATATATATATATATATATATATATATATATATATATATATATATATATATATATATATATATATATATATATATATACGATCACCATAAATGTCAATTTATCGATGTCCGTCTGATCTGTTGAATTCACGGTACAGACTATCATTTAACTGTACCTATCGATATTCGGTATTGGGATGATTTTTAACACAGTTTTCACGAATTTATCTAAAAATTGGTATTTGTATTGAGTTCTTCTCTCGTTCTCGGCAATTTATCAATTCCTCGTCGTACGCAAGTAGTTGAACTTTGACCATCAACTTTATGGACATTTTTGTTAGCAAGACTTTAATATATATATGCAAAATAAATGTGATTTTAACAGTATGATGCCACTTGTCATACTGCGGGCGACACAATGGTCTTATTGAAAAAACATTTCAACGACAACTTTATTTCGAAAAATGGACCGGTGAATTGGCCTCCACGTTCGTGTGCTTTGACACAACTCGATTGTTTATTGTGAGCATACCTGAAGTCATTGGCTTACATGGATAAACCAGACGCTTTGGAAGCCAATATTCAACTTGTCGGTGCTGAAACTCGCCCTCAAATGCTCAAAAAATTGGTCGAAAAGGTGGACCTCCAGAATGACCTTTACGTTAGAGCGTCATCATAAGTCGCCCCAACAATGTTTGTCTGTTTATCCCCCAATTGGTTTCAATAACCGGTGGTGACAATACCAAAATATGTACCTATGTTGAAATTTTGTGTAAAATGTTCTACCCCCAAAGTAGCCTTTAGGCAAATCGTTGGAAAATGTTCAAGACCTTCGAAGTGGTAACATCAGAAGGTATCTTTTTATGGGCACTACTGCGAAATATCGACCTACATTGAATTTGCTGAAATTGGTTTGAAAAATATGGTTAAAATATAGCAAGTAAAAAAACAATAAGTATGGCCGGGCCGAACTTTCAATACCCTCCACCTTAGGGTAACGAAAACATTTTAATATAAAGGTATCTGAATTGAAGCGTAATTCACTTTAAACTTCATATACCAGTAAGCCCGTTTGCATAATGCAGTTAAATTGATCAAAAAACCATAAAGTGAGTGAAGTCGTTATATGGGGAACCTCTATAGACAATTTTATACTTTAAAGACTGTTATCTATCAAATCTTCTAAAATAATAAATTTGAAAAAAATTATGTGGGTAATTGTGACTTGGATTATCAAACTACCGAATATCGGTCGTTATAGCTATATGTGCGCTTTATGAAAACATGGAACTAAATATTAAATGTTATGTCACGAGGCTAAAACCCATTATGAACTGCAAATGCCATTTTTTATCAAAATATAGAATATCGGAAGACACCGTTGTATGGGGGCTATATCAAAACGTGGCCCTATACATACAATGTTCCGCCATACGATGTAAAACCCATTTTCTCATTTTCAATACCAACAATACTGAACACAATACAAATTGTTCTGCTAAATTTTGACGCTCTACGTCAAATAATGTTGGCTGTATCATGATTAAAACAGACAGACAGGCAGACATCGGTAAATCGACTTATGCTGATTATGAATATATATACTTTATGGGGCCTACGATGAATATTTAGGGATGTTACAATCGGAATGACAAAATGAATATACCCTCCTTTCCATAGTGGAGGGTATAAAAATATACATCACTAAAATATATTTATGTTCACATTTTTATAAGTCAAGCTCAAATTGAAACAAATTGTATATTATATAAAATTGCAAAAAAAAGAACAAGTAAAAAAGCAGCTAAGGAAGGAACTTGAAATCCGAAAACAACCACTTAATTAAAAACCGTTATATGGGGACTATACGAAGACGGGGACCTACATAGACAATCTCCTGTCATATGCTGTAGTATCTATTATGAACTTCAAATAGCAATTTGAATTGCCAAAATTTGAAAAAGTTCCAGTGAATAATGTCGCAAAAATCATGAAAATATATGGAGCCTATACAAAGACGTGGACCTGCATCAGAATTTTTTTGCAATAGGTTGTAGTACCCATGGTACAATGAATTCAAGATCTTTCAATAAAAAATTTGAAAAGATTCCGTTGAATAAAGTTGCTGAAATCATCAAAAGACCGAGTATCGGGAGGTATCGTTAAATGGGGGCTATACGAAAACGTGGTCCATTTACGAACATAACCTGCCTACTGGTAAACTATGCATGCATACCTTTTAAACTTCTATCTCAATTCGTTCGAAAAATAGCGTGATAACATCAGACAGAGGGACACAGCTCGATCGTCTTAGAATTTTTCGCTGATCCAGAATATATATATATATATATATATATATATTGTTTGTAGGGTCTATTATGAATATTTCGAGGAGTTACAAACGGAATGACAAAGCTAATATACTCTCCATAGAATGGTGGGGGGTATAAAAACAAATAGAAAGAAAAAAAGAAGAAATTCTTGAACTTATTCGCGGATTTTTTACAGCTACTGTTAAAGGGTCATGAAGGAGTTAACCAATAGAATAACGACATTTTGAAATTCTCTTCATTCTGGCTTTTTTGACGATTTTAAAATAGTAATTATCCCTTAGCTTTGATGTAAGTGACCGCGATGAATTATTTCGACAATAACTATTCAAATTCAACGCCATATAATTCAGTACTGTACTTCAATGTAACCCGCCTGCAATTTCCGAATGCAAAAATAGAGTCAATTCAATAAAGTTAATTGAAACTGAGAAAACCGTTCGTACATGAAAAATTATTGAATTGTTTATATCTTATCCTCTTTGAAATTATATTATTCGTATAGTTACACTTATCCAATAAATACATAAAATCTATACAAACAGTTTTGTTCGTTGTCGCTTTATGGTACGCTAAAAAGACTATACATCATATAAGAATTCAAATCAAAATCAATGGAAATAAACACTACAAAGGTACATTCGAAAATAGTCAGTCAAAATGAAAAATATCATGCAACTTAAAACATTGTACACTCCAAAGGCCAAAATGAAAATTTCAAATTACACATTTTAACACGATTTTTTGTATTTAATCCTTTTCTATCAAGAGTAGTAACTAATACAACTTTCCTTTATAGATATAGATTTTCCATTTTTTATTAACGTATATAATTTTATTTTAATTAATTTTGCGTTTTGTTTCAAAAATTAATTTATAAAGCGACCAACATTGGTGACGTTA